AAAACTAAAACAATCACATATGCAAATGATCTATCCTCAAAACTTATTATTAATTTGCTTACCTTGGACTAATAAACTTGCATACCCAATTTTTATATGGTACCTCACAAGGTACGCGGGATTGTGATAAAACAAAAAAGTTCACTTTTTGAAAAAAATTATGATTATTCTCTAAATCAAAATGAACGTGATACATGTTAATTTGGACAAAAACAAAATTAAATTTTAATTCAGAGAAATCAAAAACAAAATTAGAATTCTAGATATTAGCCAAAAAATCACTATTAGTGGTCGCAACATAGGCTCCTCCACTGATGTTAGAAACCATTAGACATAAAATAGCAATCGTGCCTTTATCTTCAGTTTTATTGTATAAAAATATAGATACTAAAATACAACCATTTATTAGGGCATTGCTTCTCTTTAGACATCTTTTCTTCTTCCTGCTTCAGCTATCATGGTATCTAAGCGTACCTGAGCTTCTCAAAAAGAAGCACCTGAGCTCTCAGACTTTCTCCTAGTAAAAATTCCTATTTGCATCTTTGTTACCCCATGCTCTCCCCCTCACCCGATTCAGCGACAATGTGTCAACAGGCACAATGAATCCCCAATTCAAACTATGAAAACTTATTGACAAAAATCTTTCGACATCTCTGTATTCCAAAAACTTACTAACTGTTCTTCCGCAAATCCTTCATCTTCAGACCACAATAGAAATTTGGGTAACCTTGGAACGCCAATTGCATCTAACAAACTGATCTTGTGTAATCCAATTGCGAACAAACTACATAACATCTCAATGAAGGATCTCACCATGCCACAATACCTAATGGAAATCAGATCCTCGGTGGATCTCATAAAAGCTGTGGGATCGTAGTTAGACCCAGAAGATGACTCACGTACATACTCAATGGAATGTCATCATCCTATGATAAATTCAAGACTATATGACATCTCTTCAACCAATCACTCTAGATGATCTCTACTCGCTTCTATATAGTGAAAAAATAAATATCAACAATGACAACACTAAGCATATGCCACCAACTGAACCACCAATAGCCCTTATAGCATCTCAGGGACGCCACAACTCAGGAATAAGAGGCCTAGGAAGAAATATACCACTCAAACCGAAGGGTAGGTCATTTTGATGGAACAAGAGGTGGAACATCATCACCTAAATCCAACATTACATATTAAATATGCCATAACATGGGCCACTCAACATCAGACTAATCTTGAATATACTCCCATGATTCTAACTGAAGCCCTCAATGCTACCTCCAAGGATTGGATATTGAACCACCTAATGGAGCCGAGCAAGTGCTAGTGGGGAATGGTTAAGCAATTCCAATTCATCACAAAGGTTATGATATTCTTCAAGTCCCAACCGTAAGCTCAAATTCTCACAAGTTCATTACACTTTGTTGTTATCTCATAATCTCTGATCTCTTCATAAAATAACCAAGGAAAATAATATTATTGTGTCATTCAACCCTTATAGATTGTCATCTATGACCCAAAAAACTCAACAGATGCTCCTCAAGGGTCCCAGTATTAATAAACTCTACTCCACTCCCTCACTTACCTACCTACCTCAAGCTTTTACTGCTTCTACTTCCAAAATACAATAAGCTGAATTGTGGCATCAATGTTTCAGGCACCCTCATCCAAATATTAATGCCTCAATCTCCAACCCCTAGCCTATGTTTTTCACATCCACCCCAACATTCAGCATCACGTGCAACCTTACAAACAACTAGAAGCAACCCTTTGTTCCTAGTATAGGAGAAAAATACAAGTAACTAGAACTTATTGATAGTGATCTATGGGGTCCTTCCTCAATTACCTCTTATCAAAGAAATATATATTACATTATTTTTTTATGATTTCTCTAAATTTTATTGGGCTTTTCCTATGTGTCATAAATTTGAAACAACACAAATAACTCAAAACTTCATTACACAGCTCCAACATTAATTCAACACTAAAATAAAAAATTCTTTGCTCCAGTGGTGATAAATAATACAATAGAAATTCCTTCAACACACATATGGCTACACTTGGCATTCTTCATCAATTTTCATGTCCATATACACCCAAGAAAAATGGTTTTATTGAAATGAAGCACATACATATCACAAAAACAACTTAGGAGCTCCTCCATCAAGCTCACCTTCCATATAAATACTGGATCGATGCCCTAATAAGGTTGTGCATCTCATCAACTACTTGCTAACTAAAATCACACATCATATTTCACTATGTGAACATCTACACAAATCTCCACCGTCATGCAACCACCTTCAAGTGTTTGGATGTTCGTGTTATCCCGAGAGAAAGCCACAAACCTCCCTCAAATTTGAAATGACATTAGTTTTGTGCATATTCCTTGGTTATTCTCTTCAATATAAGGGTTACAAATTTTTCCACCCTATCACCAAAAAAATCATTGTATCTTAACGTGTGGTGTTTGATGAACATCATTTTCCCCATTCCATTAAATCTGCTTCCACATCTACAACATCACTGCCCACATTGTCAAACATACCTCCATTCCTCCTCCAACCTGCCACCTATCTCACTCCCATTGATAATTCATCTCTTCCTAACACAACCTTCAACCTCACCATCTTTGAGCATATCTCCCAATAAACCTCCAACCTTCATATTTCTCCTCCCACCCCCCCCAC